TTTTCACAGCAACCATTGGGGACCGTTTGCACCAATTTCCCATTTCATTTGGTAATACTTCACAATAGCGAATTAAACTTAAATTTAAATAATTTGACAACTAGTTAGCAGAAATAAATTTTGAATTAGATAAGTAAATATAATTTGGTCATATTAATTTCATAATTCTTTATTAGGAATGCTGATTTCATTTATTAGGTGCAGAATATTTTTAAATCTGTACCTAATCTTGCAACTACTGTAAGGAATAGATAAGGATTAAAATGAATATTTTTTTTTCTCCTTTTTCTTATGAAAATTATATAACAATACATAATCATTTATGTATCTAGAAATTTTAATGAATATTTATTTTCATATATTAGCAATTAATTCTTGTGTACCAAATGTAGTATAAAAATGTTGCTTATTTGAATATAATTCTCTTCTCTAAATTTTATGTTCTTTAGTTCTTTTGAGACTTATCAAATCTTTCCAACAAATTGGTATCAAATATTACTTTTGCAGTACCTATAAAATATTTCAAAATAACGTGCAGTGCACGTTCAACTTTGATTAGTTTGAATAAAAAGTATGTGAAAAAGAAGTTAAGCTTCGCCAAACAAAGAACAAGAAAAGTTGAATCCTTGTAGAGCTATACCTATAAGGTTATCCATTCTTATGTACTATAGGTATTATTGACGTTTTCATATTTAAATAGCAATCTAATTTATAGACGAAAGATTCAAGAGACCCTTCAATTATTTCGTATAACCGGGAAAAAAAATGGAAATATGATCCACGAAACGTGTGTTTGTTAAGCACTTATTATTCTCTTATTTTCTTGAGACAACAAGACATTAACACGAAATGTTGTCGAGACCACTGAAATTGCCAGTTGCCTATTACAATGGTTACCTACTCTTCCTAAGCTGAGCAGCTCACATGCTTGGGTACTTTGTCTGTGGACCAAAAATTAGGGGCATATAGACTTTTCTTTTATAAAAAAAAAAAAAGGATGAACCACATTCTTAGCAGCCCCCACCTGCCATGCCTTAGGCCTTGGTGAAACAGGTAAATCATAGGTTATGCCTCCAGAGGTATAGGGTGGAAGACTACTTGTACACTTACACTTACCCAAATGCCAAATCCATATTTCAGGATTCGAACATTTGACGCGGCAGCCTCAAACAAAGTTGGAGTTTTTCCACCTTCCCCTTTTACCACTTGAAGATGTGCCTTGGAGGCAGACTTTTCTTTTATAACTTTGTCTTAGAGCGTGTTTGGAAGGACTGTTTTAAGAACTTAAAAATAGTTTTGGAAAATCAAAAGCACTTCTATATAATAACGCAATTGATTTGGAAGAAAAATATATTTTAAAAGATCTCTCCCAAACGAGCGCTTAATATTTAGCATGTACACCATTTTTCGATTAAACAATAAAACAATCATCTGTTTTTTGATAACAATTATTTCTATAAAGCTCTACTAATAATAATTATGGTGTCAAGAGAATCCTTACTCAAAATCTAGCTTCGATACATCTTTTGAAGTGCATGCAAGATTAATTTTTAGCCAAAACCTCAGACGCGTATCGTTTATAAAGATGCATGTATCTAGTTATTTCTAAAATGGTATAGTTTGTTGGTAATGGCCATATCTTGATAAGACAAGTTACGGAATCACAATATGTTTGGTCGGTCCATTCATTCATAAGTCATGTCTTATCTTCCTTTGGTACAATAGTTTGCCGCGTTTTGAGCGTAATTTGCCCCAATTAGAGTTCCAAAGTGCACAAGTTACAAGCAAGGACGTTTAGCTCATGTTTCGTGGTAATTAAAATTAGATTTTTAGTAAATTTTGATAAAAATTGTTAAAATGTGTGATTAAAATTAATTATTGACTTTGACTTAAATTAAAATTATCGGGACTTCTCCGGTTCTACTTAGAAATTGATGACTTCTCTACCCATGAATTGTCTGAACAAAATATTTATAAAAATAAATAATGATGGACCATCTATTTTATGTCTATTCATAATCATCTTTTTGACAATAATTACAAGATTTTTTGTTATTATTTTAGTACACATGGGAGATTTCTTTACGAAATAATTCAAATATGGCGTTCTAGCTACAAGAGAGGTTGTTACTAGACTTGTCTATTATTGTTGACATGCTACCCCTTCAAGCTACAATCTTTATTTATTTATTTTTTGATATCCAGATATCCCAACTTACACCAGACTATATCCTAAACCATCCATCCCTAGCCCCTCAGTGATGAGTGCAGGTTAACCTCGAGATATGTCCAAGTTGATCAGGGTCAGTGCACCCTTTTTACTCCTAACTTCAAGAGAGCCCTCCTCCATGAATATTACATCACCAAGCTACAATCTTTATTTGAAAAGGTTTTAAGTGGCTTAGATGGTCAATAATTTAATGTTTGTTATTTCATTTCTTGTTGGGTTTTTTTTTTTCCATTCTAATATGCACATGGTATTTAGTTTTGGTATTCTATTTTAAAATGTGGATCTTATTATAAAAAAAAAAATAATAATTCAAACCCTTAAGCTGATTTTGCTTTTACATGACAGGGTTGTGGGATTTTATTTATAATACTTCGTGCAAGATGGTAACTTAATTTGAGAACGTTGATTTTGAAATTCAATTGTTTGCTTGAATTTTAAGTGGATTAAATTGCTTGTTTAATACTATATTGAGTCGTTCCTTATAAAGTCATTTATTATATTTAGGTCATGTTTGGTCCTTTTTTTTTAGAATTTATTTTTCTTAATTTTAACCACACATTTTATATGATCCACAATCTTTCAACTACACATTTTATCAATTTCTATCAAAATCCACTGAAAATTTGATTGCTAAATAAGTTAGAACAATTGTAAGATGTTCACACTTCATGAATTGACCCATACGTTACTGTGTGACAAGTAATTCATAAATGATTTATAAAGTCGGTCCAAATTAAAGATTTATTTCAATCATATTCATAAATATTACTTATTATTATCCACACATTTCGTGGGGTTTATTACTATTTTCTAACTATTTCTAGTTTATAAATTTGCCAAAGAGCTAAAAAAAAACCATGGGCTGGAATATATGGATGTATAGAGAAACAATGTGCGCCAGCCACCGTTTTAAAACATTTTTTTATGGCAATGACGTTATTTAGAGTGTGTTTGGTAGGGTAGGGTTGTGGGATTTTATTTATAATACTTCGTGCAAGATGGTAACTTAATTTAAGAACGTTAATTTTGAAATTCAATTGTTTGCTTGAATTTTAAGTGGATTAAATTGCTTGTTTAATACTATATTGAGTCGTTCCTTATAAAGTCATTTATTATATTTAGCTCATGTTTGGTCCTTTTTTTTTAGAATTTATTTTTCTTAATTTTAACCACACATTTTATATGATCTACAATCTTTCAACTACACATTTTATCAATTTCTATCAAAATCCACTGAAAATCTGATTGCTAAATAAGTTAGAACAATTGTAAGATGTTCACACTTCATGAATTGACCCATACGTTACCATGTGACAAGTAATTCATAAATGATTTATAAAGTCGGTCAAAATTAAATATTTATTTCAATCATATTCATAAATATTACTCATTATTATCCACACATTTCGTGGGGGGTTTATTACTATTTTCTAACTATTTCTAGTTTATAAATGTGCCAAAGAGCTAAAAAAAACCATGGGCTGGAATATATGGATGCATAGAGAAACAATGTGCGCCAGCCACCGTTTTAAAACATTTTTTTTATGGCAATGACGTTATTTAGCCTCACGGCCAAAACACGCAAGTGACGAACCTCTCATCTTATTTTCAGGTATAATATGAGTAATAACTCGAGCATTCTATGTTCAAGATATTGGTTAAGTATAGATGGATAAAAACTAATACTCAAAAAAAAAAAAAAAAAAAAAAAAACAATACATACATAAAAATCTACATTTATGGTTGTGCCCAATTAAAATCTTAAAGTGTTTTATCTTGAAATTCGATTTCTATTTCCACGTTGCAATCAAACGGTCAAAGTGGAATCGTTTGCTTCAGATGTGACATTTTTCATGAAAAATGTGGCAATCAAACAGGGCCTAAAAGTCTTTGGAGAAAATTACATTGAGTTTTGGTTTTGCATTGAACTACACTAACTGGGTTTCACATTGCCTTCATTTTGTAGTTTTAAAGAGTTAGAAATTATGTAAGGTGTGGTAAAGCGGGCACATCAAACCTTGTAAAAAATATTTTCTTATTTTTAATATTATTTTATTATTCCATCACTATTAAATAGATAAAAAAATTTCAACAATCAACTAAAATAATAAATATAATAATTACTTTTCCAAATTTTCAAAACTCGATAACTAGAAATTGAAAGCGCAAGACCTTTTTCAAGTAAATAGGTCCAAGAAAGTGGCTACACTAAATTAGTGTCTAAGTCGATATTGGCCCTTAGATCCCCAAGAGATGACTCCAAATAATTGGGGGAAAAAAAAGAATTTTTTTTTTTAAAAAAAAGGTTCTTGCTTTTGCGTCTAGGCCGGAGGCAGTCAAAGGGAAGTTGACCCCACTCTTAGACGGTACATTTTCATGCCTTTTAGCACATTGGAAAAGAAGGTTTGTTCCGTCTTACTTTGTCCCTGCAACAAGGTCGTTCTCTATTGCTATAGCATGTCATGTTTCAAAACATTCGAACACGCTATGGTGAAGTAGTTGGGGCCAAGCTTGATCGGTAGGCTTAGAGAAGTGTTTGGCCCCATTGATGGCTTGACGCCACGACAAATTTGAGGTCAGAAGCGACAACTTTTAGACACGTTGGACGATTACCTAAGGTCATTAAATTTTAGAAATTTACTTGTCAAATAATTTTACATATAGAAATCTATTTTTATGTTGGTAATAACTAAGCAAATTTATTTTAATAAATTTAATGTATAAACGTAAACTCGACGGCTAAACAAAGTAATTAAATAAAAAAACAAATATTACCTATGGAAAAGTCCATGGTTAATAGAATAACAGCTAAACATAACATTGAAGATTAATAATAGAGTTATTGCTGAATTTAATTTACTGACGACGATAAATGAAAGTAATAACAATATAAAATTGAATACTAATTAGAAATTCCTCCGTTGAGAATAAAATCATAGCGTCAATAATATTTTTATAAATAGTAGTATATACTATGCATAAGAAAATAGAAAAATAATGAAAAACTAAATTTTTATTTGTTGTACTGATGACTTTTCGTTGATTATATATGATTGAATCAATGTCACCAAAGGTTTTACTGTGTACTTACTGACATAGTTTGTCGATGATATTGTTGTCGATAATTCCGTTTGAATCATCGACATATATTGATTTTAGCTAGAAACACTAAATATAACACCATCGACAATACAATAATTTGCTTAGTTAATTTTTTTATTATTATTTTGCCTAACTCAAAGATTTTGCTTAAAACACCATCCATCTCGAGACATCTTTGCTCTAGGTCTAATAGAACTTGAAGAGTCAATCAATGGCCTTGTAAAATGGCTCAATCAACAACTCAAAAACTCTACTTATGATAAACTTGTCGACTTCAACGAATTTTGAATAGTAATCTTGGGGCCAAATCAGGAGATATCCCTATTTTTTGGCATTCTCCCCATTAGCGCAATTTGTAACACAAAATAAATCATTATGCCACTATTTGTTTGTTCTGGCTAAAAAAATAGGTTTTCAGTAAATTTTAATAAAAATGGATGAAAGATATTATTGAAAAGTTGACTAAAATTGTAGATTTCATTAAATGTGTGGTCAACATTAACGGTTGACTTTGACTTAAATTTTATCGAAATTTTTAGCATAATCGAGTAGGGGTTGCATTACAAACTATTTTTAATTTTTTTGTTACTAATATAATGATTCGTCTAACAAGAAAAACAACCATTTAAAGTCAAGTAGTCAACATAATAGGAAGTCAAGAAGGCAGAAAAATGCATATAAAAGCCAAATGAAGCTGTTAAACCACGTCAACCGAAAGTAACCGTCAATCAACCCTAAAAAAATTTCCCCTAAAGAAGTTGAAATTTTTAATTGCTAAAATGGTCTACATAATAGGGGGGCCGGGGAGGGGGCCCTACCCACAAACTTCTCATGTTCCACTGCCCAATTTCCCTTAGAACATGGAGCAAATTATGGCAGTTTTCCCTACTATAAAAAAACCTAGTTTTCTCTCCCATATATCTCTCGCCCACACACAAAAGAAAAAAAGCTTAGTTCTCATGGCAAAAAACCCATAAATTTTCTTCATTTTTGGAGCAGCAAATTAAGAGATAAATGGATATTGAAATGGTGAAGTGTGAATGTTGTGGATTGAAAGAAGATTGCACACAGGAATACATAAGTGAAGTGAAGGCAAAATTTGATGGTAAATGGCTATGTGGCTTGTGTTCGGAAGCCGTAAGAGATGAAGTTAACAAAGGGAATAAAGAGTTTGTAATGGAAGAAGCTGTTAAGGCTCACATGTCATTTTGTCGCAAATATAAGTCGAATCCAGCCATTCAAGTTGCTGATGGGATGAGGCAAATGCTAAGGAGAAGGTCCGGTACTGATTTATCTTCTTCTTCTTCTTCTTCAAAGAAATATTCAAGATCTGCTACGAGTTCTTATTACTAGTCAGCAAAATAAAGGGGTGCCTCTCATCTTTGGTTGGAATAAGGTATAACAATTCGATTCGTATGTGTTTAGTATTGACCATACTAGACATGATTGTACAATATAAAACTTCGATTCACGACCAAGTATCCTTTGTACATACATGTAATTTCATGGGGCCTTCTACCTGGTTTTTGTTTCTTCTTCAATACCTATGTTCTCATCTTTTCTTCTTCAGCAAAGCAACAATACATTGTGTGTGTGTGTGAGGGGGAGTTGGGGGGGTGGAATGAGCTTTGGCCTAATTCTAATAAATAATCAAATGATATTGTAGAAAGCATCATATTAAAAGGTTACTCATATGTTTTGTAGCTATATTAAGATTCATGTCTCTTTTCAAGGATCTCATAATTGGACACAAAACTTTATTCATATTACAAGAGTTGGGATTCGTTGATCTTCAAAAAACTCCATTTCGTTGAATTTTTTTATTGCTCGATCGTGCTTTATGATACTTCCCGATTGGCTAATAAATTATTTGAGGCTCTTTTTATACAAAAAATATAGTTGAATTCAATTCAACTCATCTTCCCTTTTCCTACCAACGATCTCCAAACTTTGTAATTTCTTTTCACGAAAAATAAGAAAACAATTAATACAGCCAAGCGAGTGCGGAAAAAAAAATTGAAAATAAGTTTAAGTTAGTCTTAAAGGCCAAACATGCAATTGATCGAATTAACTTACATTCATCAAATGGAGGATTATCAAACTATTGACCCGTATGCATAATATTTGCTATAGTAATTTACCACCTTGGTGGATCATTCCTCCTTTTGGGGTCTATCCGAAAGAGAAACCATATTAATACGTCAACAAACTCAACTAATCACAACTTGCTTAATTTTAATAATTGTAGTATTATGTCTCCCCAGAAAGTCACATTGTCATGTGAACTTCATTAAATAATTTGACCGTAATACAGCTGCCACTTAAATTGAAGATGAACTTCATTAGAGATTAATAGCATTACTCAAAAAAAAAAAAGGGCTCTCAATGGGATCTCGATCTTGCAATCAAGAATTTCTTCCCATAAGGGTATCTAAGATCTCCACAATTCAACTTTTGCATTCATAATGCAAACATGATTTCATATCTATAAAAGGTATTCAGAAGATCTTTAATATCCTGACGAGTATAAAGTGTGTCCTTGCTCTTTCGCGAAGAGCATAAAGAGTAAAGGTTTTTGTGTCTTGTGAGCATGAAAGGTATTTTGAAGAAATTTTGTAATGTTTGATAAAATCTTGGGATATCAATTTTCAAGCAAAAAGAACAAAGAGCGATTGGGCCATTGCCTCCAACATTTGGTTATGAGTTGAACTTAGATTTTGATATTTTGTTATTCGAAAAGTGCCTCCCATGTTAAATGAATGAAAATTGTCCAAAAATATTTACGTTAAAATTATTTCAAAATTGAATGATCAAGAACTGTAAGTCCTATGATTTAGGAGCATTGTAGGAGATGACAGATATGCTCTTTAAACGGCTATACCAGTTATCGATTGAGGTTGTCACTAACGTGCAACCTAAAATGGAAGGAGTTGGAGGCGGTGATTGACTGATGGGAGGAGAGCAGAATTGAATCGTGACACAACTGTGCGAGAGGACAATGTGATTGGCCTTGAGGCGGTATTCCGGCATCATATGTGGAATGTAGTTAAAACTTGATATACAAGATTCGTGGGCTACAATTCTCTAGAAGATGCAGAGGCTTTGGCAATCTGAGGAGGGTTACTAGTATTGAATAATGGTTATGTTACATATACATCATAATTTACAAATTTGTTTATCAACATATAATATGATTAGTAGTTTGTCTGGTTCTGCTAGAAAGCAGAATTCCTACCCTTTTTAAAAAAATGGAGCCGTAATTTTTGACTAGTTCTCTCACGGTTGGACCCCAAGTTTTGAAAATAACGATAGAAAAATTGATTTTTTTGCCAAAACAAGCCCTACCAAAGAGCCACTAGATTTAATTGAGTCAAAATCTCATAAATTATATTAAAAAAATAGAAATTCTCCCAATTTCTTTTTATCAGTGACCCACATTACATAAACACAATTGCAACGAAGAAATTTTAACAATTTTAATTCAATTTATTGTCACCTCATTAATTTGTAAAAGAATTTATAAATGACGATATACAACAAACGTTTTTTATCGACGAAAAAAAAAAAGATCATTAGATCAAGGACCGTGCATGTCCGAAAAGTAAATTCAGGATGTACTTGCTATATTTAGAATAGATTAGGACCCATTTCCGATCGCAAAAAGAACGACGGGGGCGAAATCCGAAATCAATGGCTCAGGTCTTTACAAAGGTTCTTGCACGTTCAGACAATACGAGCTGAAAAATGGGTGAAGCTCTATTCGATCTCGAAAGAATTCTCCGATCCAGACAGGTATTTTTGGATCTTTCATTTTGTCGCGCATTTATTTACACAAATTGAGCTTATACTTCCGCTTGAAAATTTCTGAAATATGAACTTTTTGGTAATTAAAGCTGCATTTTCTGTTTGACTGATGATTGCATGTTTCGAAATTGTTTTTTGTTATTTTAGTTTGTATTTCCTTTGTCATTGTTCATTTTTGAAAATAATGATTAAATGGGTAGGAAAAAATTGACAAGAAGTAATATGCTCAAAAGATTATTATTTTGCGTTTATGCATCGCAGAAAAAATATAAATTACATTGTTAATTGAATGCTACATTTACAGTATAGACTAATAAATGTATAAATGGGTTTTTTGTTATTTTAGTTGGTTTTTTATTAGTATTTCCCATTTTCAAAAATTATGTTGACAATTGAGCAGGAGAAATTGACAAGTCAAGAAACTAATATACTCTTGGCATGTAAGGCTCAAGCTATGAGAGATTTCACTATTGGCTTTGGTGGTGGTTCTGTCACTACTTGGCTAGGTACATTCTTGGCAATTTACATTAATAAATATGCATACAATGTTTTTTTTTTTTTGCATGTCTATAATTAAGTAAACTGGATGGATTTTGAACTTCAGTGTGGAAAGCCAATAAATAATATTGAGACAGTGGGGTTCTCATGATCGGTTGTAATTAAAAGAAGAGGAAATGAGTACATGACAAATGGTTAAGGGTGTGAATTTAATTATTTCCTCGATCTAATTTATTTGAAAAAGTATATCTTATGTTAAGTTAGCATGTGCGAGACAGTAAGGGAAATTAGTTCAGTGGAAATTTACGGTAAAATGGGGGAAAGATGCTAAGTTTAATTTTTTTGTCATTGGGGTTGCATTGTTTGGATATTACTTTGTGTCCACTTTTCATTAGCAGCTTTAGCTTCTAATAGCAAATGATTCAATACAATATTTTCTGATCTCTGGTAGAATCTGTTAGGTGTAACGTGTACTTTGAAATCATCATGGCACTATTAAGAGTAGAAGTTACGTTGTGCGTGTATGACCAAAGGATATATATGGAATTGTAAAAAATTCTAAGCACCTATTTTACATGACTCTGCCTTTTCTCCCATGCATGGATGAATGATTCTGTGTATTGTTGATGTTCTAATTAATGATAATTGCAAAAAGGATTCGTGGAGCAGACTTCAATTGTATATGGAATAAGACTTAGTTTGTTGTTTTAGTTTGTCATGTGATCCATTGTATACAATGAATTGCATAACCTAATTATATTATTCTTTTTGGCAGCTACCCAAAGGCTAAGTAATCTAGTTCGCTTTAACCTTACACTGGGTAAGTGACATTATTGCCATCATTTGTCCTTTTTTTATTGATCTACATGTTTATTTTGTATATCAATGTTCTAATCTAACTTGTGGATCACTGGATCTTTTAGTGAAGAAAATTTGAATTCATACTATTTGATTGCCTAGTTATTTTAATTCTCTTTTATGACAACATGAGTTGAATTGTAACCATTTTTTGGAAAAGATAAGAGAGACCTGCATTCTTCTACTTCATTCATTGTTCTTTATCATTAGGCATCATCTTTATACCCTTAGGAATAAGCTATATAATGTGTTAAAAAAGAAATCGATTCAACAACCAGAAGTAAAGTTGTACTACATTATATGAATAATCACAGTTCTCATAGAAAGATGCCCGCTTACACATGCAGAATTGTGTATGTGGAGTATTAGTTGCATGACAACTCACTATTAACTTTGATCACTAATATGCTAAAGCAAGTTCTCGTTCTTCCTCCAATATATTTGCATTATTATAATGACTTTACTGGATTGCATTTCCCTAAAATGTTCATTTATGTAGAGAAACTTATATTTTAGGTTTGACGATTATCACCTCATCTTTCATCTGCTAGGGCTCTATAATGAGTTTACTTATTGATAGGAATGGTTCGAATAAATCGGGGGGACAAAGAAACTATGTTTTTTCCTTCATTTTACTAACTTTGCTTTATTCCTGTAGTGTAACTATTCCAGCTTCTTTAATCAGAATTAAAACATATAATTTCTTAATTTTCGAACTGTACAAGCACTGTATGCAGTGAATATGATTCAGGGCATGGATCTGATACTGTAAAAAGATGCTGTCTTTCGCTAGCATCTGTTACAAATTGTGGAAACTCTATCCAAAGCATGTTTATAAATTGTGGACTCTCTGTCAAAACACTTGATTACATAACAATAAAGAAAATATAAAATTGACAAGTACAAAAACCCGTCTCTGAATGCTTGTTCCAACATATTTACATTCCTACGATGGCTTGCTATGGCCGTTTATTATTCATAAAGAAGGAAGGATTGATAATCCACTGATTATCTACATGAAGGAGTTGCTGCTATTTCTGGATTATGGAAATTTGGTAGATCACTTGATTCTTGCGTTGAACATATTCTTTCCTTGGAGGGGAGTCGGATGCAAAGGGAGTTGGCAAATGTGTACGTAGTTACCAGCATTTGTTAATCTGTGTTAAGCTTTTATGTGAGAGACTATCTAATTAATGAGACTACAGGAGCATAATTTTTATATATCACTGAAACTAACAAGAAGAAATTTAAGCTTAGAGCTACCATAGCAACCTGTTTATTATACTTGATTTCATATATTCTGGCGATCATGGGGGATTCTTTGAATCCAGAGTAACTGATTGATTATTTGTTATCCCCATCATAATGTGACGACCCGAAGCCTAAACATGCCAAGTGCCTTCCATACATATACATTATCACATAGACATTAAAATGACTTAAAATAAAATATGAATTCCTTAACGAAAAAATAAAAGTTTCATTGCCAATAATCTTAATTCATGTCTAACTTTAAAATAAATCTTTTGAAATAACACTTGAATAAAAAGAACCCTTGACATTCTTATTTCGACAATTGACTCATAAAAGGTTTCACTTCCAAACTCCGACCCTCAAATCCTAGTTACTTGAAAGGGGAAAAAATGAGGGGAGAGATTAAAAACCCCAATAAGTGTGTGCTGTGAATTGCAAGTCATATTTAAATTTGGGAAGGAGAATTCATAACGTATATAAAGGAGACATGAGAATTATAACCAACTTAAGTGGTATTATCTCTTGTTCCCGGCGCTACTAAAATTCTATCCTCTTATCTTATTCATATAGGACTACTATGAATGGTTCCAAAATTAAGAACTAGAAGTATGAAAGTCAATTTACATACGGCACACAACAACACTTGCCTTGATAAAGTTGGGGAGAAATGAAAAAGTCTAGGTGAATTAATTTGAGACCTCAAGAAAACTCAATTTCTTGCTATGACTTTTCCCTAACTATTAAAAATGCAATTTTTGTAATTGTAATCCTAAAATTTAAAAGAATAATCTAAATTATTCATAAAATATTGATGTACATAAAATAACATAAAACATTTCTTTTTCTACTTAGACAAGAAATCGGGTACTGTAGAAAGGGCCTAAAGCTAAAGTTTCAGAAATTGCAAATAGGTCCCTCAACTATGGTAACCAACCAACTAGGTCCCTGAACTTTCAAATACTTACCATTATGTCCTAAATTTTATATAACAGGTAGTACCAGGGCAAGAGGATTTATACATAAATCAAGGAGTTCAATGAATGCCAACTTTCGTTATTTTCAGCAATATCAGGTGCTGATCTCATTTTGTTCAGAATTAACAATCTAGCAACTGGGATGAACAACATCAATTTATTAAATGACAGTAGGAATAACTGGAAGATTACGAAGTTTAACTAAACAACAATGTGGATGACTAACTCTTTGATCCTCTACTAGCTGCTCTCCCATCTGGATTTCTTGTTACCTTGTGTACAAGTATTCAACTCTGGGATCTGACTATGATTATCTAGGTTGTGAGAATTGAATCATGAGCAATCCTACCAGTTCACTAGGGTTCTTATGACCTGAATAAAAAGAGAACATTGCCTATATTACTTATAAGAGGAAAAAGGTTCCAAAGTACACGCTTGTGCTTGTTAAATTTCAATTAAACCTGTCAGTCAGTGACCACTGACCAGTGAGAACATTAACTAATAACAGAAATGGCTTTCTTCCCTATTTTTTGGTTGATATAGAATGAAAAGCATTGTCGTTGAATCTTCCCTAAATTATCTTAGAAAGCACTGATTGTTGTGGTTATTTACTCTGGAACTCGAGAGAGATTTTCTTGTTAATTTCCATTGGTGATGTTATGTATACAAGTCTGTTTGTCATTAAATTTTTTCTTGTTTATTCAAATTGGTAATGTATTTTTTCTTCTCCTGTTTCATGACTTGTATGTATTTCTTCGCATGGTAGAATGTTGAAAAAGTATCACAGGGATCCATTGGTGATGGAACGTCTCTCTAAACATTTCTACTCAGAGGAAGTTTATGATGACTTGTCAGCAGAACAGCCAAAAGTTAGGTGGCGTTTCCGAAACTATTTTGGAGATAATGTTGCACATTCTCAAACTACATCCAATAGTGAGGAAACCGATTTAATGAAAAATAATATCAAGAAGGCTAGTAGGGAGGCCCCAAAAAATTACGTGCGTAAATTTGCTGAAGCTCTCACTCTATTGAATTTGACATGTGTACTCTTGGAAAATATATTTTAAGCGGTGGAAAAAAAAAGTATTGGCATGCATACATATGTCGCTGCCGAAGCTTCTATGATCTCGAAAAAGAGCATATGCATTATTTTATATTTGGCAAATAATATGCATATGACCTTCCTTTTGCTTTAATAAATCGTGTCTACTCTGATCCTTCTGTCTTGAGGCAAACATGGAAATGAAAGAAACTTACACACACTCAATAAGTTGCATTTTACTAAAAGCCTGTTTGAGTCCCATTTTTTTTTGTGTAGAATGCATTTTTGAATAGTAGATTGATGGAGAATGTGGTTAAAAATGAAGGAAATTTTTTTGAGTTTTGTGTAATATTATTTCATTGAAGAATGTGTGGTCGAAAAGAAGAGATACAAAAATGTATTTTGAAAAAAAATGGGGATCAAACAAGGTTTAATGCAAATAAAAGATATGCCTTGTCTATCCAAAGTGACTTGAGTTTCTTCAATTCTAGATGAATGCTGCTGGTGATGTTATGGCAAATCCATTTGATTGCATTTTTGGGCTTCCTGAAAGTATAGAGGAGGTACCTCGCCCTAACACGTCCAACACATTATCCAGAAGACAGAGACGCGTCTGGAAACGATCTCACCGCGGGCATAGGAAGCTTCATCCAGAGGTTTCTGATGTTTGATTTTGTAAATTTGCTAACCATGTTTATAATGAATTTGACATCCAAACTACTGTTAATCAAGACTGCTTCTTGAACACTTCAGCAGTTTAGGTTCTTCAATCTTCATTTTCTTTAACGTTATTCTAGCTATAATTATAGATTATATGATGTAGAAATGCATTGGCTAAATTTTCAGGTGAATGCATTGAAGTTGTTATATGTTAGCACATTGCATATTCAGACTATTTACCGCCATTCTCAACATTCAATTACTTGGGCTACGGTTTCTATTTAACCCTGTATGAAAAACTAATATTACTGATATTGGTGGAACTTTCATACGCGCATATGCTATATGAATGTGGAATTTTTGGTTCTTGTCGCTGCTGTGTCAGGCATCCGCTATGATATATAGAAGTGTCTGTTGGTATTGCAGCTATGGCAATGATTGTGATGCAGTAACTGCTAAGCAGCCTAAATGGCATGTGTGCATAGTTATTAAACCTCATACTGGACCAGCCAGTTTAAATTTAACCGGAAATGTGGTGACGCAGGTGTAAATCCTGGTTGGGGTCTCTATTACTCCGGTTTGAAAATGAACACGGTTCCACTTTTTCTGAAAAATTAGTGGCCCAGATTTCTACTAACTATGGCTCTAGTCCTTGTGATTTTTATTTCTCAACAGCCTTATTTATGAATTTCCCTCTCAATCGGTTGATAAATTGTAGATTTCCCCTTCTCATCCAAGAATCTAGTTTTTGTTGTGAATTATAATTACCCTTTTTCATAATTTATATATATGAAAATGAATTGCTCTAGTAGAAAGCTCAGTGACTAAACTAAAGGGAATTTCTCTCTTTGAAATCTTCTTACATGTCTGAACCAATTTCATCTATTTCTCGTTTTCTTTATGCCCCTGTTTGAGCTCTATTCCTGAATTAATACATTTTTTTTTAACTACACATTTTTCAATAAAATAATATTGTACGTGAATTTAAAATTTTTCTTTCTTATTTGGTCACATTGGAAAATAAGCTTGTCGAATTTAAAAGAAAAATAATTAAAACTCGTGCATTTGCAATTCTATAATCGAATATCACTATCAAAATGCTTTGCTTTAGCACGAAGAATATGATTTTTGGCCGAGTACGTTGCACATTTAATACAAAACTACTATTTTCGCTTTGAAAAAAAACTATAAGAAAGTCTATCTCGAAATGAATCCTCCATTTGGGCGGACGTGCTTGATGTGAAGAAGAGGATTATAAAATTTAGAATAATGTTGCTTGAACAAGCTCAATAACAAGTCATTTTTTGACGGACTGATTTGACAATTTTTTATTGGCAGTTTTTTGTTTAACTGCGAATGGAAATTTGTCAAGTGTACGTATGTGTGTGTCACAAAGCCTGTCATTAAGCCCCTGTTTTTCTAGCAAAATTGTAAAATTTGAAACTGGTATTCAAACTTGATCAAAGCATCGAACTACGAGTTACAAGAGATCAAGTAGAGTTACTTTTTCCCCGAGAATAAAACCATTGAGCACTTCTCACTTTTTTTTTTGTATAATTAATTTTTGGCTTAATAAAAATGAAAACAAAGCTTGTTTTTTTAGTAAATATTTTTTTTCCCAAACTAATTTCAATGTGTAATGCTTGGGTTAAATATTCGAGTTGCTATTGAAATTTGTCAAATGTTTTCGAGGGTCCGTTTGGCAAGGTTTTTGCATTTACTTCTGTTTTTCATAGAAAAATTTCTTGAAAAAATTATTTTAGGATAATTTGGCATATGCTTATTGTAGAAGAACTTATTAAAAAAGCTATTTTAGATCAATTTCTTTTAAAAGATCTTTTAATCAAACGAAGTATTGTAACTTTTGATAGTCGCCTTGAACTTTATAAATTTTCAAGTTGCAATATTTTTTTTTATCGTTGAATTTGTCATTTACAACTTGAAAAAAGTTTAACCGACTTCATAACATGACATTGAAATTTTACATATTCGGGTTAACTCGGCCAGCGACACAGTTTTGTGAAAATTGACGTACAACGCTTGAGCAAGACGTGTGCCCTATTATTATTCCAATCTTTTTCTTCCCTATTCTCTCTCTGTATCTCATTAATTTTCACCGATTTATATACAAGTTTGTATATATTCTCTCACTCATAATTTTACAGAGGATGGCAGGAGGCAACGCTCCCAAACCCCCTCCTTCCTCCTCCTCATCCGCACAATCCCACCACAACAAATCACGGTGGGTATCTTCGTCCTCCGCCGCGGCCACAGATCATAAACCCTCCGGTTCCGCCTCTAACTCCATCGCTGAATCCAAATCCAAGTCCAAACCCTCACCCAACTCCGGTAAAGACAAAACACCCACCACTACCATCACCACCCCAAACAAAAGTAAAGAGGCCAATTATAAACCCCCTACCCCGAAACCCAAACCCAAATCCGAAATCCCACTTAGACCCGAAAACCCGAATGCCCATTTAGGTCCACCGCCCGTGATCCCATTCCCGGACCAGCCCCCTCCTCCGGCTTATGGTTTCCACATGCTTGATCGTCGGACTATAGTCCTCGCGGATGGCTCCGTCCGCTCATACTTCGCGTTGCCGCCTGATTATGCCCACTTTACGCCCATGCCAAGGCCTGGATTCCGGCGCGAATTTCGTGGCCCTCCAGATTTTGGGCTTGATAGGCCTCATTTCCCAATGAGTCCTGATTTCCTGCCCGAGTTCAGGCCGGAATTTCGTGGCGCCGATGACCCCCTCGCAGGTACCATGAATCAAGAATATTGGAATTCACTGGGCCCAGGGCCTGAGAGTTCTCTGAAGAGGAAGTTTGGGGAAGAGGAGAGGAGAGGACATGATGCGTTTGAGAGACAACCCCAAAATGCTTTGCAGTACAGAATTGCCAGTTCAAATGCTAATGGTCCTGGCCCGAGTGGACTGTATAATTTGGGGAGAGGTGAGGAGATGAGACCTACTAAGTATATGAAGACAGGTGAGGTGAGTGTCGATAAGCTTAAACACAATGACGTTGATCAGAATTCGTTAAGGAAAGCATTTTCGCATTTTGTGAAGTTAATTTATGAGAATGCGAATCAGAAAAGGAATTACCTGGCTGATGGAAAGCAAGGGCCTCTCCAGTGTCTTGCCTGTGGCAGGTCTGACATTGATTTATGACTGCGATTTCTGTTTCAGTACAAGGTTTTGATATTTGGTATTTGTTTTTAATGCTTAATTGTGTCACATGATCTTAATTTTGCATGTTTGTTGTGTGGCTAAGTTTCATAATTTCTTGGTCCCTGGAAGAAACGAGTTGTAAAGACAATTGTTGTACAAAATAGACCATGTAGTTGTACGGGAAAGAATTTCTTGTGCAGGTACTGCATTGGGCAGAAGTATGGTTTGAACACTTGAGGAAGTGTATTAGGGTGCATTTAAGTGTGAATATCTACTTTACAGAGAGGTGATTGTCTATGCATTTTTTTTAGAAAATAATCTGCCGTTTAATTGTCTTCTTTATGTGAATTAGATGGTGCTTCCTTGTTCCTTAGAGACATTCTATTGAAAGTTTAGAGACATATTGAACATTTTTCTGTGTATTGTTGTATAGTTGGGAGGTCCTTTCAAACAATTTGGCATGAGGGTGTTATAGATATTCTCATATCAGTGATAGCAAACCATAGAAGGGCGTGGATCTCAACTTAGAGAGCATTGCAGGATTGATGTTAGGAAGTGTCTACAAAACATTCACAATGTAAAAGAAAACGTCTAGGAAAGTTCCTTTTTCCTCTTTTTCTTATCAGAACAAAGTGTTTTAATTATCAACCAATTAAAATAGCCAATAACCTCGTATATTAATAAGAACAATAAACAACTTGCACAAAAACCAAATATTTTTGGAGAACTTTCAGTGTGAAAGTAAAAAAGCATGGGAATGCTGTCCATTTTCGGGACTTCAATGTTTTTTCCTTTATAGACTTAGAGAGGCTATATATACAATAAAAAGTAAACTTTTTTGGTTAATAAATCAATATATCATCAATCAAGGCAAAGATATAGAAAAAAAGAAAAAAAAAAGGTTTATTTTGAGAAACACACGAAGAAGATAATTCATTTTTTTCCATTGGTTCATCGTGGTTAAATGGTTCACCATATCTTTCAAGCCATCTAGATTCTCTGCAACCGAATAATCCTCTTTGTATTTCAAAACTTTCAAGCTTCCTGTTGGTAAAGGTTTTATTTTGGGTGTCTTTCTGATATACATGCTTCCATGTTCCAATTCTGTGGGCATTAGTCTCCTTGGACACATGGAGTAACAAACTCAGAATAATCTATTGTCGATATTGTTCAATGGTTTTCGTGGTTGTAATCTTTCATTGTTTACTGGTATTCATTTTTGACTTGGCTTCATCACCTTCAGCAGGCTTGTGTAAATTCTTAGAGTCAGAACGTTCTTCATCGTTGACTTCTAGATGGAGTAATTAGGGAAGTATAATGATGGCGCGTCTAAACTCTCGTCCATTTTATTTAACACAAGATTTCAAATTTTAGCAACCAAAAGTCGCTATACCATTTATTGGTGATCTACATAAATAGTCACGGTGCAAATGCAAATGTCTAGAAAAGTTTTTTCCTTCCTTCTGTGACATAATAAGGTGTCTAATAATTCAAACCCATGAAAATGGTAAATACAACAATAAATATATAAATCATTTAGTGTGAAATTAGAACCCTGGGACTGTAGTTAACAAGATTCTTCCACTATCAAAAGTTGTGGGAATAGTATTACCATACTTTTCTTACATATAGGTGATTGCACTAAAGGCTAGTGTAACCATATTAATCGGTAATAAACATTCCTGGCCAACACAGAAATATGTTATCAACAAAGAGAAGATAGGAAAAATAAATGAGAAACAGTCTTTCCAATTGGTTTGGTTGACACATGGGCGAAGGAGGAACAACAATCAACTATCAACACATCTAGGAATATTTTTCACCTTTTTCGCAAGTAACATGCTAAAGGTTAACATTGATTGGACCACAATGCAACTCCTCTGACAGAAAATGTCTCCTTTTGTTTGTTCTTTCTTTGCTCACATTTTTCTTCAAATTTCACGCCTTTTTAGCCTCTTCATTTGCCTTCTATTTAGAGTGAGCTAAACCTATCCATCATCCTTTTTTTTCCCTCTTGAGAGACTTAATATTTCTCCTAATGGAATAAATGCAAGAATTTCTCACCTTTTGTTCTTTCTTTCTTCTCTCTCCTTTTTGAAATTTTACACCTTTTTAGTCACTGCATTTGCCTTATATATACAGTGAGCTAAACCAGTGCACCATCCATTGTCCTTTTGTGCTACTTAATATATCTCCTTATGTTTGGATACGTACGTGCAAGTTCACTTTTGTTTTGGTTCACTACTTGATAGTGCGTTGCTGTTTAAGCCAAAGAAATTTGTCAGTTAGACTTTAGTCGTCATTGGCATCTTATTGCACCTCTTGGGCTGTTAGGGGAATTCCTTCACTGGAATCATGGTTATTTGTTTAGCTCTGTCAAGATTTATTTAAGGCCTGATTGATTTTCCTACGGAATTCATAATATGGATGATGGCCTAGTGCATATGTTCTTTCTGAGAGCCTTTTCATATTAGCTAAAGCACTAGATTTACTCCGTTATTTGGCTTTTAATGATAATTTTTTGTTATTTTTTAGTTTCATTTACACTCAACTATCAGTGAGTTCCAGGTGTTTGAGTTGGTTTAATCTGACATCATACAAGTGGCAGATGCGTGCTTGCATTTCTTGCCCTCAAAATTGTTATGGAATATGATGATTTACACTCAACCTTTGCTGCATTCAGTCCTACTAGCTCTATAATTTTAGTTTCCCTATAGCTTTGGGTGTGAAAGGCCTATAGGTTTAGGTCATGGACTTTACGTACCTTTTGTTCAGTCTTCATCTTTTTTCCTTAATCTTGAGGATTAATATAGTTAGAACTTAGAATGGTGGTGTTCTAACTTCTAATATATCATAGGGATGTTTTGAGACTTGTGGTTTTGTTTCTATGTATGTTATATGGAAAGTTTAAGTGCTGCATTTCAGTTGATATCAGTGTTTTAGAGTTGTCAATAACAAAACCTCCTCTATTAGAAATTTCTAAAACATTTTGTATAGTTGATTGTATACCTAATTGTGTTCCTGTAGAGGTTAGGCTGCTTCCAAGGCAGTTGGCTATAAAATGGTTTCTGACATTTTATGTCTTCGAAATATGATGGTGTTACTTTGTTATTGTTTAACAGGCTTTCTCATATATGTGGTTAGCCTTGTTGACTTGAAACATTCTCTTGGTTACTTTTGTGAAAAAGGTAATTTGAGATGTGGATATAAATGTGTTGTGAAAACTTCTAGAAGATTTGAAATTGAATGAATGCAGTGTGATATAAGATGTGATCTCATCTGTTGGCAGATATATATGTGCATAGTTTAGTTTTTGGATAATACGTATTTGTATTTTTTTTATCTTTCAATATAGATTTAGCCCCTGTTTGGGCTCCATTAAAAACGAATTTTGGGGAAAATATATTTTGGAAAATGTGGGGCCTCATCGCCCCTCCAATGAGGAGGCGCCACTTGGCCATTATGTCACCTCTTGTGTAAGGGGTAATGTACAAGAAGCATAATTCTAAAAAATATTATTTTTACGTGTAATATTATTTTATTGGAGAATGTATGGTTAAAAATAAGAGAGGAAAATTCATTTTGAAAATAATGGAGCCCAAACAAGAGATTAATATTGTTACCATGCTGTGTCACACCTATGGAGCAGCTCTGTTCTGAGTGGACGTCTTAAAGTTGGACTGTTGGAGAGGGCTAGGAGTCGAGTAGACATGATTAATATTCATATGTTTACTCTTTCCCACATCAGTAGTTTATTAATGCCTATAGCTGAATGGCAAAATGTAATTGTAGCAACTCTATTCAGGCAGTTTGACATTTTACCTACTAGAGGTTGTTTATGAAGAATAGTGCTTTACTAGCTTTAAGGAGAGGCAAGCACTTTCTACATAATTGACATTATATTCAAATACCATTGCTCTTTTGATTTAATCTAGTAATCTGATTCTGTAAGCATGGACTTACTGGGTTTGTTTTTTAACCTAAAAAGGTTATCAAGATATTATATGTAGCTATGGTGAATTCGATTCCTGTTGTTGGGGGTACCTCAAATGTGCAGGCAGGCTCAATGGACCTAGTGTTAAATATTTAATGGCCTTGATTCTTGTGCTTTGCTTTCCAACTGTTGGACTTGCTTCTCTACTGAAGATATTAATCACTTGAGAATTTGGTAAATTTTTTATTTTTTGAACAGTCATATTGTTGAACCTATCAAAAAAAAAACAGTCATATTGTTGCAATACTATCATTTCCTCGTGTACACGATACTCACATTCAATCCCTAATATGTCATGGTTAAGAGCATTTTCCCAATAATTTCTTTTGTTTTCTCAGTAGTAAACTGTCTTGTACATAGTATCTTCATTCTTTGCTAAGTCGGTATTATCAATTGGCTGTTATAATCATCTTTTTGGGGCTGGGAACCCTGGAGTGGCCGGTTTAGGGAATTAAGTATTTCCTTGGTTTACAAGGACTCATTTTGCAATAAGTGCACAGTTAGGTTCACCTGAATCTTTTGTGTGTATGAATTTCGTTTATTGTTTTCATCTGTTTTTGGGTGTAAATAATTCATATAAACTTGGGTGAAGCAGGAAAGAAGAAATGAATTATTTTCTATCTTCTTTTCTCAAATCTCTCGAAGGAAGCTGTGAGAGCTTGGATGTGCATGGATAGTGGAATGTAATACCATCATTAGTCGTAGTTGTACTTTTGCCAAAAAAATAAAAATTAGCGGATCGGTTGTGTGCATTTTTCACTGCTGTTCAATCAGTATGACTTTAATTTCATGACCAGGTATTGAAGTTTGAGAAATGACTGTAATGCCAATATCTATGGAGTTCACTTCTTGCAGCTGCTACATGAATACTCCTACAATTGTCGTTTTAGTCTGTGGTTATTCTTTTCCCCCCATCTGTTTTTTGGGTATTAATTCCATTTGTATTGAATTCATTAAATGGCTTTTTTGTCGTGCATTTGACTGTCTCGTAGAAGCTGATTCATTTCCTCACTTCTGAACCTTGAGGTTGTCACTTCCTTTATTTTAAACGAAATATTGAATCATTCTGAAAAATTAACGTGATTCTAGTAGAGTCGGGAAGTGAGGACATATCTTCTGCAACAATGTATTAAATGACACTAGGTGAACACCTTATATTGTTTTAAGATACAATTTTGTGTTTATTGGTATTTATCATTTTATGTCAATTCCTGTTAAGTTGGTTGATGAAAAAGTAAATTGTGCGTATTCACTCACTAGAATCTAATGCCTACCCAATTAATTCCAGAGTAGAGTGATTTATTCCAGAGAAGACTGCTAAATGTGGTATCTTACTATCTTGTTTCTTGTAATGCGTCTGAGAACTCCTCGACAATTTTGACATGAAAAATACAGGACTTTAAAAGATTTTCCAGATATGCATGGTCTTATCATGCATACGTACAACTCAGATTCTGGAAACTTGCTTGTGGATCACTTGGGCTTTCACAAAGCTTTGTGTATTCTGATGGGCTGGAACTATTTGATGCCTCCTGATAACTCAAAAGCATATCAGATGTTATCTGCTGACGAGGCAGTAGCAAACCAGGATGATCTGATTTTGTGGCCGCCTTCTGTATTAATTCATAATACACTCACGGGAAAAGGTAGAGATGGGCGCATGGAAGGTATAGGAAACAGGCCAATGGATAGTATTCTTGGAGGTATTTTGCACCCCCGAGTTTTCATCATGTTTCTTGCTATTTATCAGTGGTTTGTTCTTTAAAGTTATGTGGCGTTCTTGCATGTTAATCCTATTTATTGGTTTGCATACTATATGGCATTAAGGAGGTTATTTTTGGTCTGCCTTTGTTGGACCTCTTGCTGTTATATCCATTATCAACTGCTAATATGCAACTGTAACACTACCACCACAACCATGACAACTTGTTTGTCTTTGGGTGCAAGTGACTGAAGAATCTACACATTTGTCTAGCTCGTGTTAATCTACTCTTAATCCTGCTTAGGTTTAGTCACTGAATAATTTTTAGTATTGCAGCTTTGTTTGAGATGCATATTTGTCTGATCATCACGAAAATTAAAATATGACGCCTCTAAGTTAGTCATCTTACTCCAATGATTAGGGGGCCTATACCTCTAAAATATCCTTGCACATAGTTCGATGTGAAGCACCAATCTGCTGGGTTCATTGCCTAGCATCTGCTCATAATTTTGGGTGCTTCCTGGGACCTAATATTAATCAGCTGGGAGGGTGTATTTCATTAGCTTTAGTTTGTTGGATGATGGTCCTATTTGGTTTACAGCTTTACGCCAGACTAATGGATACTAGTGCCAAGACTATCTGTTTGTCGGCGCTCACCAATTTTTGCTCTTGGGCCTTAACCTCGTATAAAACAAGATAGTAGGAAATTTGTTGAAGGGGTCTTTTCAAGGACGGATGTGTATTCAGGTTTGGACAAGTCTTCAGTTTAAGAGGTGTCTCATCATTTACTATATGTTCACTTTCGGCATTTTATCTTTAGCTCAGTGCTAGACGTTTATCTTGCCGGTAGTGTAATATTGTGATGAGTTAACGAGTTAAAAAGTTAACTTAGAGGAGACAATTTACCAGGGAACCTTTTTATAGAGTTAAAGTTGTGAGTTTACAGCTTTTCCTGCAGCCCAACAGCATAGTGTACAAAGAGGGGAAGTTTGACCCTTTTTTCCTCGTTTCTTTTGATTTGCTTGGAGTCTTAAGGTGATCAAAATTGCAAGTTCTGCCATCCTAAGCTACCACTTGAATTGGGAGTCATTTCTATTATGCGGTGGTGACTAGTGTAGATTAGGATGGAGGTCAGACCCTCAATCTATTTGCAATGGTCCTTTAATTTAATTGTTAGTTTTGGTAAGTTCTCTCATGCTGCTTAACTTGAACAAGTTACCGCTCAATCCACAAAGGGATTGACCCATTATCTTGTATCTTATTACGAACGTTTAAAGAGGTTCAATTGAGAACCAAGACATTTTACCTCTATCAGGCATGGAGTAAGCTAGAGTCAAGATGAACCAGTACATTAATTCAAAAGAATATAATAATATTCTCATAGTAAACTATAAAAATCTAGAAAGTTCCACAATGAATATTATTATATTAAAAAGAATATAATAATATTCTACGTACTCATTTTCAACCACCTTTCACACAATAAAATATTCTACACGTAAACCCAAAACTTTTCTCTACCTTTTAACCACACATTCTTCAAAATTTCACTATTTAAAACATTGTTTTGAACAAATAATGGCCATCAAACGGGGAAAAATGTCTAGAAAAAGCAAGACGAGTAGGCCAACACCTTAGTTGCCTTGAGGACATAGCCTAGAGGTGTAAGCTGATCTTGAGGCTTAAGCCTTAAGAAAGGCACTCAAGGCATAAGTTTTGATGCATTCAATAAAAGTTTCATGTGTGAGGCTTGAGCCTTAACAGCTTTTTAAAAAAATACTTCCTGCATAGAATTAACTGCGGATGAAAGGTAGGAATCATCTTATAAGGTGCGCACCTTTTAAGCTGGGTCATGCTCTTAGTAATTATACGCTTAGCCAAACATGCTATACAAGTATATGCAGCAGCCTAGGTCATTCTTTCTCCAATCTGACTAATTTTATCCAGTTTGTGGAAAAATTATGATATGTACAAGCTGGGATTCTTAGATTATGAGAACTTGCCCAATCTTGTCTACATTGACTAGAACAAGACATGGTGAACTAAAGGAATTTAATGCTGGTGGAGATAATTATAGGGATTATGGTGTAGCCTGCTACATGTAGAATTGGAATCATGAAGAGAAATCGAAACATCGGTGAATATCATCCGATACTTAAATACTTACTCTTGTGATCTTCTGTTGACTTGGTCAGATAACTGGTGGATTTAGTTTTGACCTCGCCTTTTTTATTTTCGCCTTCTTTCTCATTTTCTTGACGTTCTGTTTTCTTCTCTTTTTTGGTGATGGGGGAGAGAGAGTTTTAAAATTTTAAAGCTAAGTTTTGAGGTGTCTCTGTCTGACAGTTAAAGGTAATATAAGAATGCTGTAAATGATGATGCAAATCTCTTTGAATATATGGATTGACATATATTATGCTGACATACAGTCTCATGAGGTGAAAGCCTCTAAAATATTTATATCTGAGATTTAAATTTTAAGATGGAGAAAAAAGTTCAGTTCAACTATTGAGCTAGGTTGTGTATTAATCTGGAATTTACAAGGTTCTATGACTTGCAATACTGTGATATGGATTCAAATTGGAAAAGATATTGAGCATAAATGTCATGTAGATTTGTTAGACTTGATTGGGAATAAATCGCATGGTCTAGTGTAAGTAGAAATTATTTGCTTCTTTCTACTTACTAATGGTGGATATTCTTGCTTGTTAGATTATTGAAAAGCAAAAATTCCATTCTCCTAGTTGGTGGTGATATTACTGGATGCTCATTTCCTAATTTAATATCGATCTGTGGCCACCTATGACTTGAGAATGTATAGTTTTAGTTGCTTCATGGTGAGATTGCCTTCTGGCAATATTTTGGTTGTACTCTTGGTGATTTGCTCAGTATTTTACTACTTTAACTGCCTTCGTTCCTTTCTATGTCATGTTCAATAGCTCTGGAAGTAGCTTTTTTCAAACTTTTTGCAGTATATTCTTTTGCCATGTCCAATTTCTCCTATAGTAACGAGTTTTAACTGACTGGACAGAATTGTAGAAAGTGAATGGTGGAAGCTGATTTCTGTCATTGTACCATAATTATGGAAGAGATTGTGGGATTTTTAAGATCTACCATTTACTAGTGATGCTAACACGAAAACCTTTTTTCTATTCTTTTATCTAGTAATAATTTTCAATACTCATCGTCTCATCTTCTACGAATCTGGCCTTTTTCAGATTTGGGATTTAGTAGCGGCAAGTCGATGTCCTTGTTTTCAAGGGAAGGCCATTTGGGCATTCATGTGGTGAAGTTCCCTGGTGGTGCAAAAGGTCTGAAGGAGGCGCTGCGGCTGGCTGAACATTTCGAAAAACAGAATCGAGGGCGAAAAGATTGGGCCCGCGTGCAGTCCTCCCCGACATTTAACAAGGAAGATGATAACAATTCAAACCTTGTGAAATTGGATGCTACGACTGGAGAGAAAAGGAGAATCTTTTATGGGCATCTAGCCACTATTTCTGATCTTGACAAGGTTACTTTTGAGATCAAGAAGAAGGTAACAATCGAGAGCAGAAGGGATTACAAGAAGCATTCCAAGTAGAAACTTAAGACAGCACAGCAGTATCTGATATCTTATTTTCCAGTGTCTTTTTATCCTTTTAATTTAATCTTGTAGTTTTTACCTTGTACCGTGATTTGGAAGTAAAGTAGTTATAGCTACCTGGAACACAGTGCTGCTGCCTATTTCTCAAGTGGATAGTTTCTCTTTTTGGAAAGATCATTTTGACTTGCTTTTAGATGGCGAATAATCTCTTTTAAGAAAGGTTCAGTTATGTATGTCAACTTAATTGTGAGGTTTTAAAACAAAAATAATTTTTTTTTTTCTGATCGAAATTACGAAATCAGCAATTAATTTATTGTAACGTGAATGTGTCCGCAAAAGGAAGCAATTGGACTAGAGGTGTCAATTCGGGTGGTCAGGGTCGGGTCGACCCTGGTAATGGCCCGTGTGAAAAAAAGCTCGCTTGCTAGGGGTTTCAAGCTGGTTCTGGGTCGGCCCACAAATTTTGGATTACAACGCATGTCCGCCCTTGACCTATTTAGGTCGAGTCCATGCGGGCCACGGTTTTGTTCCGATTTGACCCGTATTATTGTATAAGTAAAATTATAAAAATATAGAATTTTTCATATTTATAGTAAAAAAAATTTTTTTTGTCAAATATAAATTAAGAATTGAACAAAATGATAAATTCGTATTTATACCAAGAAATGTTTACATAGAATTCAAATTTAATGTTACATGAATTATTTATAACTTTGTAAAGTTAAATTTAATTTAAACAAATAACAAGATTTCTAATTACTATTTTCAAATATTTATAGCATATTACATATAATTCAAATTTAATGTTACATGAATTATAACTTTGCAAAGTTAAATTTAATTTAAACAAATAACAACTAAATGCATTTCTAATTACTATTATCAAATATTTATAGTATAAGTACATCCCAATTAAGTTGACACCCTCCATTTTTTTCAAATTTTTTAAATTTTTTTCACGGGCCAACGGGTTAACCGTGGTCCGCGAAGGTGCAACTCGCAAAGCCCTCGGGTCACGCCTCCTTAACCCGTGAACCGCTCGCTCGGGTCACAGGTCAGCCCGCGATCCCGGGTCGATCCGAACCGATTTTCACGGGTCTGACCGGCCCATCCATCTTGACACCTCTAAACTGGACCACCTCACACTAAAGGTAAGTTGGTGCTTTTAAATTTCTTTCCGGTGATGATTATAAATAAAATCCAGTTATAAAATATCGAAAAGTTATCGCAAAGGTTTCACAATAACTTCTATCAAAGTTTTAAAATTATTAAAACATTGAATCCTTGATCATCTCTAAACAATATGTTTTATTTTTTGACATTTCAATTTGATGGAATCCTATCACATTGCGTTGGAGAAAATATTTTAGACATTTAAGTGGATTTTTTTTTAAAATAATTCTTTTGTTTCAAGTATCCTTTAATAAATAAATAATAATAACATACCCTATTTCGAAAACTTAAGGTCCAAATTCAGTCTTTGAACTTGAATTTTAACCTCCGTCCTTGTCTCCAAGCCAAAAAGATTCGTTGTTTACCTTGTAAACTTCACTCGGAGCTTCCTCGATTTATGAATCTTGTTTTGGTGTTTACAACTGAAATCTCAAAGACTACTGTTTCGCCTACCCACTGTTCGATGAAATGTCTCTGAAGAACGCATAACCCTCATTTATAGCTGTTAACTTCTCAAAAATGGCAGCTATATTCCTTAGAAGAGTCACCACCTTGAAGGCAATAGCGATTTGTCATTCTTTTTCACGGAAATGTATTTCATTTTCTTCGTCAAGAACCCCGACATTTCTTGGCAATGATAAGGGGGAGACTGTTACCAATTACAATAATGGGCTTTATCTTTCACCGTTGTTCTCGGATAAAAAGAATGAAGTCTGTGCAAAAGACTGCAGAATTGAACTCGTGGATGATGAGACATGGCAATTGTCCTCTGGTATAGCTGATGTGTGGAGAGGGAATGAAGAGAGGAAAGCGTTGGAAAAAAAGCCTTTTTCTGATGATCAATTTGATGACTATAATGGGGTTGTCAAGTTTGTGACTTTAAATAAGGGGAGCCCTGATTTTGATGAGATTGAGGATATGAGAATTCGTGGGTCTTTGTTTTACAAGCTTGACAAGGATTCCAAAGAGTATGATGAATCTAAATTTGATTTCCACGGGAGGAAAAATTCAAAGAATCAGATTGATCGGAAACAAAACAAAAAGAACAAGGAGAAAGAAGATCGAAGTTGCACGTCGGTGTCCAAGGTTGAGAAAACTTCAAAGAAGAACGAGCCAAAAGAAATCAAGCAAAATAAAGTGGAGAGATCGCAGGGAATTGATAAGAATGAGCAGAAAGAAATCAAGAAAATTAAAGTGAATAAAATAGAGAGATTACAGGGAATTGATAAGAATGAGCATTTGATTTCTCGTCTTCATGAGATGGGAGATTCTTTTGTTGGAAAGATGCAACGGACTCTCACTTTTAATCAGTTAACGGCTCCTTACCATGAACCATTTTGCTTGGATATTTATATATCCAAGGGTTCTGTGCGTGCTAGCATTATTCATCGAGTTACTAGCAAAGTTGTGGCAGTGGCGCATTCTATTTCCAAGGACATGAAATTTGATTTGGGTTCGACTAAGAATAGAATTGCTTGTGCTGCGGTTGGGGAAGTGTTGGCTAGGAGGGCCTTGGCTGATGATATTCATAATGTGGTTTATACTCCGAGGAAAAGGGAGAAATTGGAAGGGAAACTTCAGATTGTACTAAAGTCCATAATTGATAATGGAATCAACGTGAAGGTGAAGCTCAAGCAGAGAAAATCCAGAAAAATCGGAGGCCCTGCACTCTGACCTCAGCAGTAACACTGAATTTCAAAGCTTTTGTTGGGTTAAAAATGTGTGTTTCCATATAGGATTTGAATATAGCTTCTGAATATGTCCTCGGTAATAATTTTTAAAGCAGACTGTGTTTACTGATTGCGTGTGGAACTACTATGAAGTGCCTGTCTTTTGTGGCTAAGTTTCTTGCATTTTACATGCCAGCTCTCCTGATTACTGGATGGTAGCTACTTGAACTATGTTTTAGGAAAATAATCAGTCGATATATTTTAGGCATGATTTTATGGTGTGCGAGAACTGCAGACAAGGATTATTTTGCAGTTGATTCGTCAACATTTGGTTATATGAAAGAATCTGGAGTAGAAGTTTTGTTTATCCTCTTTAAGGTCGAATTTGTCCTGATTGGTTCCATTTTCCTTTGCATCATTTACGTTCAGGTGGAGATTGTAAACTCATATTGTGCGTCTTATGATGTGACCAATAATATTAAAGTCTTCATTTCGAATTCCTTTTTTTCTGGCAGCTAGAACCTAGTATAAAAAATGGTTTCCAAATATTTAACAAGGCTGTGAAGCATCTATAGTCAGTCGACCAAAGGATCTATAATGAGGTACTTACCATTGTAAGCGAAGAAAGAGAAATATACATCATGAAAAAGAGAAATATACATCATGAACTTTCGGTTTCTGATACTGTAAGTTTTTAGATGAAGGGGAAAGTGAGGGAATACCAAAAATTTGCCCGGTGCGAAAGAACAATCTATGGAGCTGGGGATTACCTATGAAACCTGTTCAAGATCCAGAGAAACAGATGGGGGAAGTAAGGATTAGACGAGTTAATTCGCTTTCACAAGGTTCAAACACAATGCCGTGCAATAGGCTGTCAACAAATGAGAATTGAATAAAAGGGCATTCTTTTGATCTGAAATTCTAGCAAAGTTGTGGCTGTGGTGCATTCTATTTCCAAGACATGGTGTTCGACTAAGAGTAGAAATGCTTGTGCTGCGGTTCAGGAATTGTTGGCTCAGAGGGCCTTGGCTGATGATACCCATAATGTGGTTTATACTCCAGGGAAGGGGAGAAGTTGGAAGGAGAGCTTCAGATGTACTCAAGTCCATAATTGATAATGGAATTCATGTGAAGTTGAGACTTAAGCAGAGAAAATTCAGAAAATACCGGAAGCCTTGCACTGGGAGCTCAGCAGTAATTCTGAGTGTTATGGCCTTCCTTGGGTTGCAAAATGTGGTTAGCCATATGCCATACTGGATTTATGGGTTCTGAATCTTCTTGTGCTTAAATTTTAGAATGAAATGCGAATGACTCTTGATCATTCTTGGTTGTCAGAGAAAATGCTTTTGGAGAAATTTAAATGTAGAAGCCTAAGCTTATTTTTAGGAAAATTTGGACAGTTGGAAAGTAGGTGAGTCCTTTCCAGCTGTAATATTTTGATTCAAAATTAGTACGTAAAATCTAGTACATGTTCGTCAATAGAGATGGCAAAATTACATGTCTCTCCCCCACTTTGCCCCTCCCCGTTCGGAGAACATGATCCTTGTCTCAAATTCATTATAAACTTATTTTTTTATATTTACAATTTAAACCCGTATTAAAAAAGTTAAAACCTCTATATGAACAAATTTAAATAAGTAAACATGAAAGTATATTTCATTTCGGGATTCCGAGTTAAATGTTTCAATGGTCATTGTACTTTGTACTATGTCACTTCTTACTCATCGAACTTCATGAAGCTTCCCATTGGCCATTGAACTTTGCTCCGTCTCACCCTATCACTCACCGGAGGGAAATCGTCAGTAGATTTGCTGATGTGGCGGATGGAAAAATGAGTGTCCAGTTAAATGTTGAGTGAAGTGCCCAATCAGCCTCCACTTCAGCAATCACATCTTCTAAACCCAGCTTAACAAATAAAGAATACACCAATTAAATCCCCAAACCTAAGGTTGTGAAATCCAATTCTCCCAAATCAATTCCTGACGATGGCGTGAAACCCATTCAATTATTCTCCCAGGCGAATTCTCTGAATTAGAGCTATGATTGTCGCCTTCATCATCATCAAAATTTTGATCTTAGAGAGCTCCGTGGTCGCATGTACAGATGGTAAGATTGAAGGTTTGTGCAATGGAATCCGTTCTCCAGTATGATTCGATTTGTGCAAAATGAATCTACATGCATGTTCGCACACAGATGGTAAGATTGAAGGTTATGTCACTGTGGTTAATTTGATCAATTATAAAATGGAGTCTTGGAAGAAGATACTGGGTATGGATAAATAATCCGATAGTTCGTTCTTAGGAAAATTTGGTTTATGCAGCTAGTTTGGATTATGTGTTGTTTGTGAAGGGATTGGATTTGAGGATGGGATGGGAATGCAGCTCCTTGGTGGTTCATTTACAATAATAATAATGATGATGGGATTGAAGAGGTTATTCAGGAACTTGATCTAGAGGACAACAATGTCTGGCATGAATGGCCGTAAATAAAGACGCGAGAAGTATGCTTTTGCATTGTGTTTTGATTGCAAAGAATGAATGCTATTGGGTTTCATTCGTGGATGTCAACGAATTCTTCTTCTTTCCATATTCAACACCAATACACAAAAGATTAGTGAAACTGGGTTACGTGGTGCCGAATTCACTTAACACCTTTGTAGCAAATGTTCGTCATCATCAAGAATTTACTTAGCACCTTAATTTTATACTTGTGTATCCGATCCTTCTATTTTTGTAGACAAAATATGAGAAAGGCCATAGATATGATATAGAAATGTTATATTGTTGTAATTCATTTCTCTTGCAGTACTATCTATGATGATGTTCAAGTGGTAGTTAATGAAATGAAGTATTCTTGTTTCTGGAATTCATTTCTCTTTTGTGCTAAAGGATCAAATGTCTTAATTTCTAATTCATTAAAAATTACAATGCAAATTCAATTTTGATTGCAAATGAACAACAACAAACTAAATCTGCTAATCGCAGGTATCCATTCATAGAGAACCTTCAACATGATACGAGATACATACAAAAGCAGTTAACGCATACATACAAAAGCAATAGATGATCCATCAAGTGTTTAGGACAATTGTGGACAAAAAAAGGACGATAACAATTTTATCCCACATAATTTCCAGCAACATTTCCATAAAAACATAAACACTAAACTGATAATCATTTTATAGCTTGAGTATCCGTTCCAGAAAGCGCCAGCAACAAAGAACCATCTGAAACCTTCTTGGTCGTACTATCGTCATCCTTTCCAAAAGTATCAGCAATAGAGACTCCCTTCCATTGATTCAAAACATGAATACGTTACTAGTAGCGACGGATGAATTGCTACCACATTTTTTGCTCTTTTCGACAACTGCTTCAGAACAATCAATCTTTAATCTCTTCATCTCATCTGAGAGTTCAAATAGGGGGCTTTTTTGAAATTCAATGCTTAAAACACACATAATATTCCAAATTTTAATTTAGAGTCTGCCCCAGCATTATCGTTTTGACACATAAAACTATTGGAATAGTTTTTTCCAGTCACAGGATTCAACAATAAGCTATTTTTATTAGAGCCATACCCAAAATACCCATCATTCAAACTTATATTGGACTCCGAGTTATCTACAAGTGTACCGAACAAATAATTTCCATTTTTCAAATCCGAATTCGATACTGAATTAGTCCTATCGGCAGCGAAAACAAAACCTGTGTTACAAAAGTTCTGGGCACACTCCAACTCTCGTTGCACTCCCCATTCTTCTAATCAGCACTTTATCCTACATTGAGATCATTATTACCGAAAACAACTCTCAATGCACTTCACATTTCATTATTACCACTTCGGAGAATTCGCATGAGAGAAGAATTGAATGGGTTTCACGGCCTCAGAGACTTCGCGTCCAGGAGTGATTTGGGAGAACTGGATTTCACGACCTTAGGTTTGGGGAGTTAATTGGTGTTTTCTTTAGTTGTTTTAAGTTTTGTTTGGAAGATGTAATTGCTGACGTGGAGCTGATTTGGTACTTCACTCAGCATTTAATTGGACACCTCATTTTTTCATCCGCCACATCAGCAGATCTACTAAAGGATTCCATCTAATGAGTGAGACGAAACAAAGTTCAGTGGCCAACGGGAAGCACCATGAAGTTCGGTGAGTAAGCCGTGATATGATGCAAAGTTCAGTGACCATTGAAACATTTAACTCTGGGATTCTTGAGTAAAATTATGTCCGCAAAATAAAATCAGTCCGATATTTTTTCTTCAAATAAATACAAATACACAAGTTGGACATATCTGGGTATGAGGCCCAATCGCAGATATGTTTCTGTACTTGGGCCCAATTCAGGGAACATTCATGATTTATTATTAATAAAACCAAAATTATTAATTTTTGAATAATTAAGTAAATAATTAATCATCGTACAATATTTCTGTTGGCGACTCTTACGAGGTCATTTCTTGTCATCTTCAAAACACTAAGCACAGCCCAGAACCCACAAAAGGTAATCAATCATAGTTTTGTTCTGATAATTCTTTGAGAACGGATTTCTCTAAATTACTGGTTGAAATCAGGAACCAAACTGTTATGGCATTGAGAGGTGGAAGAATTGAAGTTTTTGACCATTTAATGATAAAATGAAATTGATTATTTTGCATTTGAATAGATAAGTTTATCTGAATTTGGTGAGGTGGGGTCAAATTATTGCGTTTTCCGTGTTCACAAAGCATTTACATTTGTTTTCTTTTGTGGTTAGTTGTGGTGAAAAGACTGAAAGTTGTTGAATCATAATTATTATTCTCAATAGAATTTTTATATTGAATATAATACAGGGTAGTCTAGAAAAGCAGCAATGATGACTGGTTTCATTAACTTTACGGGGGGCTTAATCTAGTGGCTTAGTAAACTATTTAGTTTGACTATTTTGTTTGATTTGTATTTTCCTGTATATGATGGACATGTTTGTGTTCATTGACTGATGATGTTATATTTAGAATTTCAAATAAG